CCAACAGTAAACACCCACAAGACCCCATCAGCAGACTCAACAGAAAACAGCATACAACAATTTTCCATCTAACAGAACGGAACATTGGGGGAGGGGGGGGGCGGTAATTTTTTGGTGGGGGGGGGGTCTCAAGGGGCCCGATCGCCGAAGTTTCGGCGCCTGTGCCCCCAAACTTTCCCGACATTTAAGATCCGTGTGTAAGAAACCAACAACCTAACATTTCCCCGGACGTTAATTATAAACAGGTGGGCTTTCCCTGTTCACTTTGTTCACTTGTATTGTCAAAGAGAGATAACTCGCCCTGTCGTCCCGTGATCGTCTGCTACGACAGACGACAGCGACACGAAGGAGAAGCTGGCTTTCTCCCTACACTTGGTAAAGTAGGTTGATACAATTATCTTATTGTTATATTAATGTTCAGTATTGCTTTAATTATTGGTAGTGTTATTCGTAAGTGTTGCAGTTTAAAAGTAAATGTTTGAAATTTAACGTTCTCGTGAAGTAACTTTTGATTTAGTTTAAGTAAGGCTCATATGTCCACGTTTGGCTGGCTTTTGTTTACTAATAACTATACTAGGTAATACTAATAGTAATACTATTACTTAGTGTTGTTAGTATAGTAGGGTACGCCGATAATAAAATTGTTTGTTACTTTGATAAAGCCTAGCCCTGTCCGGACTTCAGGTTACTTTGTAACCATCGAGGGGTCTTAAACCGGATGTCTATAAGATTTGTATCTTAGGGATTCTTATTGACACTTGGCACTTTGCGTTACCCCACCTGGCACTTTGCGTTACCACACTTGGCACTTTGCGTTATCACACTTGGCACTTTGCGTTACCACACTTGGCACTTTGCTTTACCACACTTGGCACTTTGCGATACTGGGCGTTAATCGGTGTTAATCACCCAATCTGCGGCTCGTGAGTGAGGTTCAACTTTACTCACTTAGACGATATGCATATTATAACTGAATTATCAGGGTGAACGAGATTTCCGCCACGGGTACCTGTTTGACTGTGATTCTTCACCCTGAGATGTTAATCTCAGTGACTGCAATTCTGGGGAGGGGGGAAACAGATTATGTCAGCCGTTGTTAAGTCTTCAACTGAAGTCAACTGTTTTGATTTGATTTAATTGAACATCGTTTATTTGGGGAAAAAAAAAAACCACGTTTGGCTCTTTCTGAGTTAGTGTCTAATTATTCATAGTACACTATCCATCATAATCACAACTAAAATCAAAGCAAAAATGGGAAACTATACAAATTGCATTTTGGTTATATGATTTTATGGGCACTTACATTATATAAAAATTTAAAATAATGAATATATACTCAGAGAACTCAACAATATATATATATATATATATATATATATATATATATATATATATATATATATATATATATATATATATATATATATATATATATATCACTATATATCCCAATTATAACCTAGGGAGTTGAACAGGATCTTCTAGAAAAACTACTACTACTACTACTACTACTACTACTACTACTACTACTACTACTACTACTACTACTACTGCTACTGCTACTACTGCTACTACTACTACTGCTACTGCTACTGCTACTGCTACTACTACTACTACTACTACTACTACTACTACTTCTACTACTACTACTACTACTACTACTACTACTACTACTACTACTACTACTACTACTATTTCTACTTCTACTACTTCTACTACAACAACTACTACTACTACTTCTACTACTATTACTACTACTACTTCTACTACTTTCTTTATTGGAGTTGGAAGTTTTCAAGAGATTAGTGGCTGAGAATGAACAGTTAATTTTTAGTGAAATAATATGGTATCTTGTTCAACAGTAAACAGTATTTTTAGTAGGTAGACCTGGTGGTGATAAGTTTAATTACCCAAGAGTAATCAAAACAAATTGTCATCCTTTGAGATAGCTTAATTAGTATGAGAACAGCTAATCATTTCTGCCAAGACACATGCAGAAGATCAAAGTAGTAGAGGTGGTGGTGGCAATAGTAGTAGTAACTCAAACAGCTGTATGCTGTTTTAACTTGGATGTGTAGCATTTGTTTTTTAAATTTCAGTATTGGATATTGGACCAGGAGAAGGCATTTGACAGAGTCGACAGACAATTGTTGTGGAAAGTAATGGCAAGATATGGAGTAAGCGAACACCTCATCGAAGTGTGCACAAGTTTATACAGGGATTGTAGAAGTGTAGTTAGAATAAATCAGGGAACATCTCATCCATTGACAGTAACATCTGGAGTAAGACAGGGGTGTGTCTTATCAACACTGCTGTTTATCACCTACATCGACAGTATATGCAAGAATGCCAAGCCCATGAATGAAAATGTTAGTAAGATCAACAAATTACTCTTTGCAGATGACCAGGCCTTGATAGCAGATACAGCCATGAAATTGCGACAACATCTAACATCCATGAATTAAGAATGTAAAACAAATAATATGAGAATCAACACTGAAAAGACAGAAGTAATGTCAATAGGAAAAAAGAAGACAAATCTAAACATAGCAATAGAGTGCAAAGGCATTAAACAGGCATCTGAGTTTAAATATCTGGGAACTACATTTACCAAAGATGGGAAATTGGATAAAGAAATTAACATTAGATGCAGTAAAGCAAACCAAGTATTGGGACAGCTAGCCCCCCTCTTACAGCATAAGACAATCCCAATCAGCACAAAGAGACATCTTATTCAAAGCATGTTTATTCTCTGTGCTACCAGTGCCAGACATGGTCACTCACAACAAACCATAAAAGAAAATTAGTAACCATGGAGATGAGATGTCTGAGAAGGGCTGTAGGAGTGACCATAAGAGATAAGATGAGGAATGAGATCATAAGAGAAAAAGTTGGCACAGAACCAAATCTAAATTACATATGAGGACAGCAAGTGAAATGGTTTGCCTACTTAGAGAGAATGCCTTGTGACACCATACCATACAAAGCATACATGGAAAGAGAAGAAGGACGTAGAGCACGAGATAGACCAAGAACAAGATGGAAGGATAACATCAGAGAAACTCTACAACAGCATGATGTGCCTATGTTCGAGGCGGCCAGAAGAGCTAGAGACAGAACCTTATATCTCCCTCGACACCCACAGTGGTAAAAGAGGAAGTGAAGAAGAAGAAGTATTGGATATAAATGCTTGGCAATAAAAATGTCAAAAATGTAAAATTAAAATGATCAGATAGTTTCTGAATCTGAAACTCATTCTGCACCAGGCAGTATTTGCCTAAATATGTTCTGCTGTAACACATTGTAGTCAAAAGTCTTAAATGGTGGACATGTTTTTAGTGGTGTGCAATGATACGCAGTACCAGCATTTTTTAGGCATAATTTTTTATCAGTGGCCTAACTGTAATAGACATCCCTACATAGGTTCCAGGGCTCCATTGTGGGAAAATTATGAATAGATGCAATGCCTCTCCAGCAAGCATGCCATAAGAGTCAACTAATAGGGGTTTTCCTTCAACGTCAAGAGTGCATCTGCCTGAGAGGCGAGAAATCAACAGTCTGCATACAAATAAGTCAGATCTGTAAAACACATGTGCATGCAAAACCAAGTATATATATATATATACTTGTATGTATGTATGTATGTATACACACACACATATGCATGCTTTCCTGGTGACATTGAGTAAGCTCAAGAAGATAGAGACGGGCTGAACATACAGTTGTTGAAGTCTGATTCGGTCACTGCTGATGGAGATCAGTTTCATTCTCATGCCAGGGCATGCGAGTGTATAAGGAAATGAACTGGCTGATAGGTAAGAACCCAGTGATGACTGTGAACCAGCAGCCATAATCAGACGAGAACAGCAAGTGAAGAGGGGTGAGGTCAGACATGAAGAGCGCCAAGCAGGAAGCCAAAGAAGAATAATAAACCAACACAGAACTGGTTTCATCAGCCACTACAGGATTTACTGAGGAGATCTGCGGACTTATTTACTGATTATTACAGCGCTCAGTGAAGATTGACTGATCGTTTCAGTGTGCAGTGAAGATTGACTGATTGTTTCAGTATGCAGTGAAGATTGACTGATTGTTTCAGTGTGCAGTGAAGATTGACTGATTGTTTCAGTGTGCAGTGAAGATTGACTGATTGTTTCAGTGTGCAGTGAAGATTGACTAATTGTATCAGTGTGCAGTGAAGATTGACTGATTGTTTCAGTGTGCAGTGAAGATTGACTGATTGTTTCAGTGTGTAGTGAAGATTGACTGATTGTTTCAGTATGCAGTGAAGATTGACTGATTGTTTCAGTGTGCAGTGAAGATTGACTGATTGTTTCAGTGTGCAGTGAAGATTGACTGATTGTTTCAGTGTGCAGTGAAGATTGACTGATTGTTTCAGTGTGCAGTGAAGATTGACTAATTGTATCAGTGTGCAGTGAAGATTGACTGATTGTTTCAGTGTGCAGTGAAGATTGACTGATTATTTCAGTGTGCAATGAAGATTGACCGATTGTTTCAGTGTGAAGTGAAAGTGATCTGTCAACTAACCAACATGTTCACCATATTTTTCCGTCTGTAAGGCAAAATGTTTTCCAAAGTTTTTTTAAGTTTAAAACCTCTGGATCCTCTAATCCATGGAATGTGTTTAAAAGATTTCTTTCTTAACTTAGAGCTAGAAAAAGAAAATAGGGTCATCCTTTACAACAGGGCTATTCAACTAAGTTTACCAAGGGACCAACATTTTGAAAATGGGGATCGTCATAGGTCAGAAGCCCGAGCCACGACAATAACCCACTTACGAACTGCCAGTTAAATAGCCCTGTTATACATGTTGGTGTCTTATACACCGAAAAAATGTGATACTTGTACATGCTATGAATTATTTGTATTTAATTTTACTTTTAGAACTCATATTGTACCAACAGAAAGTAGAAGTCACCATGGTTCTAATGGACAAATGAAAGAATGTAGCAGTGATCCCAATTACTACAAGTCTCACCATGACAGACAAGATAACTGATTTAGTTCGAGGCACACCTTTGACCCTGTACAACAGATTTGCAGAATTAATGCTAGTTGTTGGAGTGGATGAAAACACTGGGCTGGTGTCTTCCCGGAAAGAGACAGATGTAAGATTTGTTATTTATATTTCTCGTATCCCCCGTGTAATCTGAAGCCTCATTTCTGGGGGAAAAGACTAGACTCACTGCTTTCCTAGCAAACATGTTGTAAAGGTTGACTAATAACTAATTAGGGAGGTTTCTTTTAAAATCGAGTTCATGTGCCTGAGAGGCAAGGAACTAACAGTCTACATACAGGTGCACCACATTTGTAAAATGGTTATGAATGCAGAACTTGAGCTGTGAAAGAGGACTTAAGTCTAGAAGTGGATGACCAACAAGAATTTTCCGCCAGAGTTTAATGCCTGTAAACTCAAAGAAAAAGTATTTTTAATATTTAAAAATGAACAGACAGACAGACTGGCTGGTGTTACACCACTGGATGGTGACTTGATGCGTGACAAGATGGCTAGCTGGTGTTACACCACTGGATGGTGACTTGATGGGTGACAAGATGGCTAGCAGGTACTGCAACACTGGATGGTGACTTGATGGGTGACAAGGTGGCTAGCTGGTGCTGCAGCACTGTATGGTGACTTGATGGATGACAAGGTGGCTAGCTTGTGCTGCAATACTGTATGGTGACTTGATGGGTGACAAGGTGGCTAGCTGGTGCTGCAACACTGTATGGTGACTTGATGGGTGACAAGGTGGCTAGCTGGTACTGCAACACTGTATGGTGACTTGATGGGTGACAAGGTGGCTAGCTGGTACTGCAACACTGTATGGTGACTTGATGGGTGACAAGATGGCTAGCTGGTGCTGCAACACTGGATGGTGACTTGATGGGTGACAAGGTGGCTAGCAGGTACTGCAACACTGTATGGTGACTTGATGGATGACAAGATGGCTAGCTGGTGCTGCAATACTGTATGGTGACTTGATGGGTGACAAGGTGACTAGCTGGTGCTGCAACACTGTATGGTGACTTGATGGGTGACAAGGTGGCTAGCAGGTACTGCAACACTGGATGGTGACTTGATGGGTGACAAGATGGCTAGCTGGTGCTGCAACACTGTATGGTGACTTGATGGGTGACAAGGTGGCTAGCTGGTGTTACACCACTGGATGGTGACTTGATGGGTGACAAGGTGGCTAGCTGGTACTGCAACACTGTATGGTGACTTGATGGGTGACAAGGTGGCTAGCTTGTGCTGCAACACTGTATGGTGACTTGATGGGTGACAAGGTGGCTAGCTTGTGCTGCAATACTGTATGGTGACTTGATGGGTGACAAGGTGGCTAGCTTGTGCTGCAATACTGTATGGTGACTTGATGGGTGACAAGGTGGCTAGCTTGTGCTGCAATACTGTATGGTGACTTGATGGGTGACAAGGTGGCTAGCTTGTGCTGCAATACTGTATGGTGACTTGATGGGTGACAAGGTGGCTAGCTTGTGCTGCAATACTGTATGGTGACTTGATGGGTGACAAGGTGGCTAGCTTGTGCTGCAATACTGTATGGTGACTTGATGGGTGACAAGGTGGCTAGCTTGTGCTGCAATACTGTATGGTGACTTGATGGGTGACAAGGTGGCTAGCTTGTGCTGCAATACTGTATGGTGACTTGATGGGTGACAAGGTGGCTAGCTTGTGCTGCAATACTGTATGGTGACTTGATGGGTGACAAGGTGGCTAGCTTGTGCTGCAATACTGTATGGTGACTTGATGGGTGACAAGGTGGCTAGCTTGTGCTGCAATACTGTATGGTGACTTGATGGGTGACAAGGTGGCTAGCTTGTGCTGCAATACTGTATGGTGACTTGATGCGTGACAAGGTGGCTAGCAGGTACTGCAACACTGTATGGTGACTTGATGGGTGACAAGGTGGCTAGCAGGTACTGCAGCACTGGATGGTGACGATGGGTGACAAGGGGTGTCTGGTCAACAGAAAGAGACTGAGCTATACAGATTAACCCAGTGCACCAAAGTCAGTTTTAACAACTTTCTCTTTAATTCTTTCTGTCCCAAACAGTGCACCATTTGTAACTAGATATTATTCATGTGTACCACTCAGTAAGTTATCTATGTTTTATATTTTAGATTTAGAGAACGATTCTTTAAAAAAAAAAGAACTTGGACAAAATATGTTTCCTCAGTTAAAAAAAAAAAGGACTCTTTTCTACACCTTCAGGCATATTGGGCATATAGGGCTAGACCTATGTTTGATAACCAATCTGCAGTCGGTGGGTGATGTGGTCAACAACACAATGGCCACCTTTACTTCCCAAGTATATACCTGGTACTCAGGGCTGGGTCAACCTGGGAGCCAAGGTAATTTTTGTGTTTCCCTCAGGGACTGGTTATTTGGCCCCTGTGGAAGTACCATGTGAACGAATCTTTAAAGAAAAAAAAACTTGGACAAAATATGTGTTTCCTCTGTTTAAAAAACAAAAAAGGACCCTTTTCTACACCTTCAGGCACATTGGGCATATATGGCTAGACCTATATGCCTATGTGTTGTAATTCTTGTGTTGTCATTCTTGTAGTGTCAGATATTAGCTAAGACCTTCTAGGACCAGAAGAATTAACTTGGACTTTGTATTATTTGGCGTTCACAGAGCGATGAGGATGGTGAAGATTCTTTAAGCCATCTGTTTAATGATGAATATGAAGCACAAGTGCTTGTGGCTATTTCTGCTTCGAAAGCTCTGGTGTTTCAGCCACAGATAATGGAAGATCTAACATATCCACCTACGGCTGAATCCCTGGCTAACATGAGCAACTTTCATACTGTGAAGTACGTATGCATTATTTACCTCTTGTCTCTGTGGGTTCCTGGGCCCCATAGGAAAAAAAGACCGGGGGAGGGGGGAGTGTGTGGCATATTCCCACTGTTTCCAACAAGTATGCAATTCCAATGGCACCAGTAACTGTCTGATTGTATATCTGTCTAGCCCTTCCCCTGAGTGTTGAGCGTCAGCTAGATGCCCTGGTAACTCCTCGCAGCGCCATTCTCCTCAGACCATAATGATTTATTTTCGCTTCCGCACTGTTCACCCCCTCCCAGAGGGCACTCACAACGTTTAGCTTGTCATACATCAGTTCACCACCAAGTGGTGCAGAACCGACCAGTCCATCTGCTTGTTCATTTCCCAACACACCGCCATGACCTGGAGAGAATATCCAGAGGATACTAACTACCCGGGACCTCTGAAGTGATGCTTGCCACACTGCATGGAGCATACCTGTCTCCACATTTTTTCAGCATGCTCTGTGAGTCAGTGACAATCACGGCACGTGTGAGAAAAGTGTGAGAAGTGATAAAGAGAACCGACCAAGGAGGGAGGACTAGTGAAGAACACACATGAGTAAGATTAGAAGAGGGCAAGAGTGAAAATATGAAGGGGTCAGAGAGAGGGGACCTGATAAGGAGAACTCACAGGGGACCCAAGATATGATTCATATAAGAAATTCCTCTTATCCAGATCAGAATTCAAGCAAGAAAAATTGCAGAGGATAAATAAATTGTTCTTCACAACTGAAATTCGTCACCTCCGAGATCACCATAAGCGGTCTGCAGTGTATGTGTGTGTGTGCATGTGTGCGTGCGTGCGTGCACGTGTGTGTGTGTGTGTGTATATATATATATATATATGTTTAACTATCTGTAAGATTAAAGGAAAAAAAATCTATATAAATCAATATGATGTTTCACAGGTGTTCCTTACTGTTAGTGTTTTGAGCGCTGTATTTACTGATAGCATAGCGAACATAGGGTGTCTCCAATGTTATTCTAGGTCAAGGTCCGAGAAGCCTACACCTGGTAAACACATCTGGAATGCCCTGGGCCAGCATTCAGTGTCCATCAGTCCTGCGGTTGTCAGACAGCACCTCACCCAGAACGAACACTCATCACCATCATCACCAAATGTCCATGATTTGCCTCTATCGAAAGATGCTATTGAGACAATATCAACCTTCTGTTTTCCCGGTATGTTGTTTGTTGTTTGAGATTGGGGACTCATGTTGACACACAAGCAAAAGGGCATTCAGAAAGCAATGCCTGGTCAGGGGGCACCAAGGAAGTTTCATGGAGGGCGCCAAATTATTTTGAAATTGTGTGCATTTGTTCTTGTAATAATCTCTTTTTACACACACACACACACACACACACACACACACACACACACACGCACATGCACGCACGCACACACGCACACTCGCACATAGAGAGAGAGAGAGAGAGAAAGAGAGAGATTGGCGGAATCCATGCCTTAGCCTCTCTCATTAACATTCGTCTTATGGTTTCTCGCCTCCTTAATCCCTTAATTTCCTATTTAAATGCCTGTTTGGTGATTTTCTGCTGGTTTTTTCTTGGGATGTGTCCAGTGCAGGGCCATCTTCTCTGTCTTATAAGTGTTTATACAAGTGGTTGCCCAGATATTTCTTTTATTTCTTACCTTTTGAATTCCTCCCATATTATTTTCATAATTTTCCTCAGACATATGTTGAGTTGAGTTAAGTCAAGAATTGACATCACAGCACTTAGGGCATTCCCATGCATGCTCCGTCCTCATCTTCAGACGAGGCCTAAAAAATTTTCATAGGCAGTAATGTAGCTGTTATGATGTTGTCCACGAAACCATCTGACATTAAACCCATCCACCCAAACATGGGACCCAATTGCTTTTATTTTAAAACCAGATTCCGGCTGTCGTCGGGGGCCCTAAATATAATCTTCGGGTTGAACAGTGTTTCTGGAACAAGTGTCCGGGTGATCCTTATCCGAATTATGGCACTTTATGTCACCGGGTGTTGGTCGCTCATTGTCCTGTCCTGATGAGGATGGCCGGCAGTCAGCCAGCCATCCACATTGTACAGCAGAATACTTTAGAATCATCATGTGCCCTGTTATAACTGTTTTTTAAAGTTGAACAGAGTTTCTGTGATTCTCATAGTGGCTGCTTGAGTCACTGGGCGTTGTTAGTCTTTCTGGCTGCAAACACACGCACGCATGCATATATATATATATGTGTGTGTGTGCATTATATATATATATATATATATATATATATATATATATATATATATATATATATGTGTGTGTGTGTGTGCATGTGTATGCGTGTGTATGTGCATGTGGGTTTACACACACACACGCGTGCGCGTGCATGCGTGCGTGTGTTTGTATATGTATATATATATATGTGTGTGTGTGTGTGTGTGTGTATATATATATATATATATATATATGTGTGTGTGTGTGTGTGTGTGTATATATATATATACACACACACATATACATACCTGATAACAAGGACGCTGGACGCATTGGTATACAGAACCAGCAACTTTTTTTTTCAAATAAAATTTGTTTTTCTATTTGGCAATACCTTTTCCAGCGTTACTGCAGTAGACAGTTTGTGGTGAGCAACTGCATTCTTTTTTTATAGAAGAAAAACCCTAGCCTAATACACTAAGGTTATGAAACTAGTCCATTGCTTTACTTTGTTTTGCATTTTACAGACAATGCTCACATTTATGCGGACAAGCCGGACAACAGCATTCATTTTCTGGTTCTGACTGATGTGTATCACAGCAAGACCTACGCTTCCTGCCTGACTTTCTACAAGCCATATTGGCTGGCAAAGGTACATAAATGTTTTAGTATATGGATGCATACAGATCTTCACCCAGACAGGTCATTTTGGTAGTTCAGTGAGTATGCAGTGAAATGGGTTGCCCACTTGGAGAGAATGGCTTGTGACATCATACCATTCAGAGCATACATGGAAAGAGAAGAAGGACCTAGAGCACGAGGTAGACCAAGAACAAGATGGAAGGATAACATCAGAGAAACTCTACAACAGCACGATGTGCCTGTGGTCGAGGTGGCCAGAAGAGCTAGAGACGGAACCTTATAACTCCCTCGACGCCCACAGCGGTAAAAGAGGAAGTGAAGAAGAAGAAGAAGAAGAAGAAGTGAATATGCTCGGAAAGACTGAGAGAGCATGCTGAGAAAGATGGAGACACTTATGCTGTGCTCAGAGCGGCAAGCATTGCTTTATACCTCTTTGTTTTTCAAGCAAATGTGGGAGTGTTGGGAAATTAAGAAGCAGACAGATTGGCTGGTTTTGCACAAATTATGGGTAAATTGTTGCCTGACAAGCTAGATGTGGTCAAGGTTCTTACGGAATGAGTGAATAGTTCAGAAGGACAGATGGATCATCACAGTCTGAGGAGAATAGTGCAGGGATCTTTCTGATGTTCAACACTCAGAGGAAAGGCAGGATGGACATACAATCATTCTGCTACTGGGCCTATCAGAATTGGAACTGTGCACAGACTTCTGAAGATTGGGATGGAGTGCTTATGGGAATGTTCCGAGTGCTTTGATAATCTGATGTCTAAGAAAACACCCCTAATTAGTTGACCTGTACAACATGCTTGTTTATAGCAGTGGATCTATTCTTTTACCCCCAACAAAGGGACCCCATAAACCACATGGGGAGTACTGCTGTTCAAATACCATAAGTTTGCAACTTGCATACAAAAGTTCTTTTTTTTTAAAACACTAATCTAAAATGTCTAGACATATGATCCACTACCATAAAAGCAGTAAGTAAGAAGAAATTCCACAGGGGAGCATGTACAGCAGGAGTCTACCAATCGTCAGTAGAAGTAACTTCTCGTCGACAAATGTTTTGGCGCACGAGCTCCTATACGTTTCCAGAGATTGGGCCCACCTGAGTTCATGAGGCTCAGGGTTGATTTTCTCCTGCTGCACGTATTACCGGATGTTTTCGGACAGGGTCAAGACAAAATTGGTAACTTTGAAAAGGTACTGTGAGATACCAAGTGTATTTACATAGTCCTTGCGGTAGCATAATTAGAGCAGTCAGCTTACCTGGACGACCAAGTGGCAAGCTTACGGTTGGTTTATCGGACACAGAAGTAAATGATCCTTTTAGTGTATATGTAAACATCTTTCCATGTGGCTTATAGGCTAGTAAGTGTACATATAAGTCAGATCTGCAGAACGGAAGTTTTGGAACAAGACTAAAGTCAAGAAATGGACGAATAATTAGAACTTACCTGCTGAATTTACAGCGGGTAAATGCGAGGAAGAATAGCACAGTAGTACGGGAGAAGCTAGGGAAGAGATTAGGACTTTATCACATAATACTTTCAAAGGCAGCAGCGGATGCACATTTACACTGTAGCTGATCTTCATCGTTGACATGGCAGGAAAGTATTTACAACAACAACAAATTTATCTGTATCATTATCATTTCTTGATGATTTTGTCTGGTACATTCATATATCAGGAGCCAGATGGAACCGTTCAGTGTCTTCCAGATGACTCCAGCCAGAAGATAAACACAGAAGATGGGGTGGTTCGCTGCTACTTGCCTCAGTGCTGTGTGTTGGTGTCTAAGTACCCTTACTTCTATGCTATGAAGGAATGCTTGTCATGGTAAGAAATTCTGTGCTAGCTATTGGTCCAGTATAGCAGAGTGTCAGCATAGCCCCTAGACTTTATCCTGCCACTCTGAAAGTCTTCGGTTCCAGTCTTCATCGAGTGAGACTTTTTTTTTTTTTTTTTTGGAGGTTTAAAATTGACCTTGGCTCCCAGTTGACCCAGCCTAAAATGGGTACCAGGTAATGTCTTGGGAAGTAAAAGTGACCAGCATGGTTGGTTTGCAGAAATATGAATCCAGTATTATATGCCAGATGCGCCACTGATGTAAACAAGGGTTCTTTACTTACTTACCATGAATGTCACAGCTGGCAGGGAAGGCAGTAACAATGTCCATGTTTATTTATTTGCTATTCTGGAACCCCTGAACAAATGCAACTGTAGGTTGATGTGTAGTGAGCTAAAAGACTACTGAATGATGCAAGCAATGCACGGTGTCACTGTGGTAAATGTGTTTTTTTTTACCAGCCAGTAGGAGGAGTATAGAAGAGATGGATATAATGTTTTTGTGGATTTTATAAAGGCGTATGATAGTGTACATAGAAACAGTTTATGGAATGCTATGAAGGACTTTGGAATACCAAAGAAGTTTATTACCATGACTAAACGATGCATGGAAGACACTTATAATATAGTAATATATAAATGCAAAAAGTCAGACCCTTTTAGAATAACATCTGGTTTAAAGCAAGGTGATGCTCTGTCACCACCTCTTTTCAACTTAGCCCTGGAGAAAATTGTAAGGAAATTGAAACAAGAGTGTACTTTAGGAGAAACTACACGAATACGTGGATATGCAGATGACATTGATATCGTTGGAGAAAATGAACTAGGGACTGTTAAAACATTGACTCTCTTAAAAGACTGACTCTTGTTTTGTTTTTAAGGGTTTTTCCAGAAATTACCATGGGTACCATTTTTTAAAGATTTATTACAATTACTACAGTTTACTGTAGTTTGAAATGTGCACATTCCAGTATTTGTATTGAATATTTTGATGCTATTGATAATGTTTATTTACTATTACTTGATGTATAAAGGAAGGGAGAATAGAAGGGCAGAATGGTAGATGGGCCTGCGTGCCCTTCCTAACCCTTGAAAAATAAAGTTTGTTCGTTCATTAATTCGTTTGTATCATTCATGTCCGGCTTGCACACATCTTTAAATTACCAAGGTGTGTTTGATTATATATAATTCAAAGTTGAGTTGAGTTGAATCAAAAATTTACGTCACAGCACTCAGATAATTCCCATGTGTGCTCCATCCTCATCTTCAGCAGCCAGTGCAGAGTAATTCAAAGTATGCATTCATACGTTTGGAACACCCAGTAAATATTTATGATAATTAATCATTGGAGCACCCAGTAAATATTAATGCTAATTAATCAATTAAAATTTGCTTAATCGCTAGCATGATCAGTCATATAGAGAGAGATTTGGAAGAGATGTACCACTTTCTGAAAGACTTCACCTACACCATGACTATGGCACCAGTGCCACCAGCTGGGGATGTCATTGTGGTATGTGGCATCTGTGTTGATTTCTTATAAATTTATCATCTTTGTTTTCTAGGTCAAAGGACCCCCCCCCCCCCCCCCCCCCCCCCCCCCCCCCCCCCCAAGGGGGAAAAGGAAGATCTAATACATGTTAAAATCTCTTATAAAATTGTTACCATACACAATCTCTTTTAGTACTCAACAACTCACTGAACATTTACTCTTTACACAGTCTTCCTGTCTTAGATCCTTAATGTCCATCAAGCTGGTACATTAACCCATTTTGTTCCAACTTTTACTTAAATTAATTTTTCCTTAATCTTCTTATTCAGACTACCAAACCTGTGAGGTTCATTTACTTTTACTTAAATTCCTTTTGCCCTATTCTTCTTCTTCTTCTTCTTCAGTTTTCCAAGCCCTTGAGCTTCATTGCTGCAGGTATCCCTCACCTCCATTCATCTGTGTGATTGGCCTTCTCTTTTCTATTGATGACTCCAAATGTGTGTAGGTCTGCTTGTATATTTTCTTCTTCTTTTCTTCTTCTTCACTTCCTCTTTTACCGCTGTGGGTGTCGAAGGAGATATAAGGTTCTGTTTCTAGCTCTTCTGGCTGCCTCGACCATAGGCACATCGTGCTGTTGTAGAGTTTCTCTGATGTTATCCTTCCATCTTGTTCTTGGTCTACCCCGTGCTCTACGTCCTTCTTCTCTTTCCATGCATGCGTTTTATGGTATGGTGTAACAAGGCATTCTCTCTAATTGGGCAAACTATTTCATTTGCTGTCTTTGAATGTAATCCAGAATTGGTTCTGTGCCGACTTGTTCTCTTATGATCTCATTCCTCATCTTATCTCTTATGGTCACTCCTACAGCCCTTCTCAGACATCTCATTTCCGTGGTTAATAATGTTCTTTTATGGTTTGTTGTGAGTGACCATGTCTGGCACTGGTAGCACAGAGTTGGAATAAATATGCTTTGAATAAGATGTCTCTTTGTGCTGATTGGGATTGTCTTATGCTGTAAGAGGGGGGCTAGCTGTCCCAATACTTGATTTGCTTTACTGCATCTAATGTTAATTTCTTTATCCAATTTCCCATCTTTGGTAAATGTAGTTCCCAGATATTTAAACTCAGATGCCTGTTTAATGCCTTTGCACTCTATTGCTATGTTTAGATTTGTCTTCTTTTTTCCTATTGACATTACTTCTGTCTTTTCAGTGTTGATTCTCATATTATTTGTTTTACATTCTTAATTCATGGATGTTAGATGTTGTTGCAATTTCATGGCTGTATCTGCTATCAAGGCCAGGTCATCTGCAAAGAGTAATTCGTTGATCTTACTAACATTTTCATTTATGGGCTTGGCATTCTTGCATATACTGTCGATGTAGGTGATAAACAGCAGTGGTGATAAGACACACCCCTGTCTTACTCCAGATGTCACTGTGAAAGGATGAGATGTTCCCTGATTTATTTTAACTACACTTCTACAATCCCTGTATAAACTTTTGCACACTTCGATGAGGTGTTCGCTTACTCCATATCTTGCCATTATTTTCCATAATAATTGTCTGTCGACTCTGTCAAATGCCTTCTCCTGGTCTATGAATGCCACAAATAAGTTCTTATTGTATTCAATGTTCTTTTCTATTAACTGTTTAAGTGTGAAGATTGCATCTGTGCAGCTTC